TTTGTCTTCTTTTAAACTATTTTTACTGCAAAATTCTTAAGTTCAATCAAAACAGACTTTTTAACCAGGCAAAGCAATAGCTTTCCAGCTGAAGGAAGAATGTTCCAACTTGTTCTAATTCTGTCTACAGTTTTTTTTTTATTTATTTATTTTTTTTTTTTTCACACATGTGATTGTCAGCCAGAATGCACTGATTACTTTTTCTTTCTTTTTTTTTTGCTGCATGCATTTGAACATGAACACTTGCCTGGTTTCTTACCGCACATTTTTTTCAAGAGAATTATTTCTGATGTTCTGTAATGAATATCTAACTCTGGATGGTGTGGGCTTATTTAAAAAAAAAAAAAAAAAAGTTTTTGTAATTATTTTTTTCACCCCCATCCAGAGAATTCAGTGTTTACTGGTAAAGAGGGATATTGAACTTTTATTCTGTTCTACCTCTAGCTGATTGCTAATATAATTTAGGCAGCGCCTGTTAATAGATTTTATTATTATTATTTTAATTTATCTCGTTGGGCTGCAGCTATGGAGTATAAGGGGCTCAATTACAGTGTCACCAGATGTGCTTATTTAAAAATACATTCAAATGTATTTTCTGACAGTGACCAGCTAATCACTAAATTACCAGCATTTCTTTTTTCCAATAGTAGTGCAAATCACCAACATATAGCCTGAAACCTCTGACCTCCCCTAGACTTAATAAAAGGAGAATTTAAAGAGATAGTCCACCCAAAAATGGAAATAGTCATCAACACACCCTCATGTTGTTCCAAACCTGTTAGACTTTATTTCATCTGCAGAACATAAAAGGAGATATTTAGTAGAATGTGTTAATTGTTTGTATCCATACAGTGAAGGTCATTCATGTTTAGAATGGTATGAGGGTGAATAAATCAGTTTGACTTTTCATTTTTAGGTGAACTGTCCCTTTAAGTTGCTGCTAGATCTGTATAATGTGGTAGATTTTAAAAATGATTGTGTACAGGTATCATGGGACCTCAAGAACCCAGTTAGTATTTTCTAAAGAACCTGTCTTTCCAATAATCCACTATCTATCCCATGTAATATACTGCAAGATGTCTTAATTTATTGATTTCCTGCCTTTTTGTTCCTGTCACACTGTTATACTCAAGTTTAAATCACAAATACATACTGTAATTTCTAATCTAATGTTGATATTTATTTTGAAATTATTACATATGTCTGTACATCTTAACAGCAAATGATTGCAACCTAGCAGCCTTTTCCATAATGCATCGAGAGATTGTTATAGGCACTGAATGTTCATAAGTGTACATAGTGCATTTTTGCACTGCATGTTACATGCTTGCTTCTACTTTTCCTGCTCATTCAACAGGAAGGTGGGTCTTACAATGTGTTTAGAGGTTATACTGCCCCATTACATAACTGTTGCTGTGGTTCAATGTTTTCGTTCAGAATCACTGCTGTGTAACTAAGCCGCCCAAATACAGGCATAATGGAGAAATCAAAAAGTAAATAAAGTAGTTAATTTTTAATTGGTGCTAAATCAGTGGTATAAATATGTAAAATTAAGAAAATTGTAAAATAGCATATCAGTATAGGGCAAAATAAATTTTGTATAAGCACTGATCTTCTGTTATGTACAAATGGTAGTAACAGGAAAAATGTTTTGGGAGCTGTGTTTTTGTACAGTAATTATTTTTGAAATCTTCTCTCTTCCCTTATTTCCTGATGTATGCATGATAAAGACCATAAGAATGCAAGGTTTTCTTGATTTACTCATCTGCTGAACATTGAATATGTTTCATGCATGGATTAAAATGTCGCTGATGTTTTTCCATCAGTCAGAAAATCTGTCATCTTTAAGCCAGGAGTGTGAATCAGGCCCTTTTAGGGGGCTGTGCAGAACCTCTCTGCAAAATACATGCCCGGGCTACAACCTACACTGATTGACCCAATATATGTGCTATTTATGAATGTTCATAAGATTTATAAATGTTGTACAGTTTGTATTTTTTTATGATGTCTTTAACATTGATTTCTCCCCTTCCCCAGAGATTATTTGTGGCCAATGTTATGTTAATAAATTTGTTCATTTCAAAAAAAGGTGTGCTCTTTCATTAAGAAAGTCTCTTATGATATTGTAATATTCAACTGTCCAAATCCTTTCATCAATTCTGCCGAAGTCTGCAGTTTTACATACTGCAATATTCGAAGGAATCGTTTACACAAAAATGATCATTTACCAAAAATGTACTCTTGGGCCATCAAAGATGTAAATGAAGTTGTTCGAAATTTGAAGACGAAATTTAGCATTACATCATTTGCTCACCAATGGATCATCTGGAGTGGATGGGTGTCATCAGAATGAGAGTTTAAACAGCTGATAAAAACATTAATTCATACATAATCCACACGACTTGACACAAAAGCTGCATGTTTGTTATAAAAAAATCCGTTAATAAGGCATTTTAACATTAAACTGATGCTTCTGGCCAAAATACGAGTGCATATTGATCCACATTTACACTTCTTTCAGAGATATGGGCAAAACCAATATGCTTTAATATAGTTCAGATATTTTATTTTTCACATTCGGTTACTGTAGTAACTGGAAAAGTCCTTAGTGATGAAATACTGACTGAAAAAGTTACAGGAGTTTTAATATTCAGATTTTCAAACACTTTTAAAACAATTTTAATGTTTAATTAATTTATTATTTACTATTTCCATTTTATAAACAAACTGGAAAAGTCGTTAGTGATGAAATATTGACTAAAAAATGTACTAGGGTTTTAATATTCAGATTTTCAAACACTTTTAAAACACAATTTTAACGTGTATTTAATGTATTATTTACTTATTCCATTTTAGAAACATAAAAATCACATTCCGTGATTGGACTTAACAAATCAAGACTTGATTATGCCATCAAGGTTGAAAGAAATTATTAGGCCCACTGTGTGTTGCTATAATCGTCCAATAGGGGGCGGGTCTGCACCAGAGGTGCCACAACATCAGAGGTTGTGATTGGATCTAGTGGTTGACAAGCGGGATGTTGGCCAATCATAGTTGAAAGGTTAACTGTGCGTACTGCGTACTCCAACTCTTAAGATTAGTTGTCGACTTAACTTTTTCAAAATGTAAGTTTTTCTAATAAGTATAGGTTTATTTTATTTCTGCTTTATTTTAGTTGCTGAAATCGTTTTTTTTAACGGTTTCTGGTTTAGTTAACAATAACAACAATGGTTGCATATAATTTATTAAGCTCTAAATTAAAGGAAAAATGGCTGATTTCGAGGGCTTCTCAAACTGCAATATTACAACTAAACATTGATTTGGCTTCAAATGAAATGTCAAATGACCATCGATGTGCATTTGCTGTTTTTGTCTCTTTTATATTTAAAAAATAAAAAGAAGTGGTGTATTACATGGCGCATGTGCTTGTTAGGGTTATTTATTAGTTCCCCCAATTGAGGAGCTCCTGACATGCTAAAAAGAATCGGGATGGTGCCTTCAGCTGGTGTTTGTATTTAATTTATTTCATTGGTTCTAGAAGCTTTTACAATATAATTCTTTAATATGGCTATCAACACTTTTGGTTATTCTGCCACATGTGCAGCAGATGTGCATCTTTTCAAATGCAAAATAATATCTCAGAAATACATCCGATTAGGTTGCATCATGCAGTGTTATTTTAGTACTGTTTATATAATACAGCACTCTTATGTTATTTTAAATGACCTTTTATTTCATATTTTCAGTTTGCGTTTTAGGTTTCAATCAATGTTTCCATATTTTTTTTCTTCCTCAGATTTTAGCCACTCTTAAGATTAGTTGTCGACTTAACTTTTTCAAAATGTAAGTTTTTCTAATAAGTATAGGTTTATTTTAGTTGCTGAAATCGTTTTTTTTAACGGTTTCTGGTTTAGTTAACAATAACAACAATGGTTGCATATAATTTATTAAGCTCTAAATTAAAAGAAAAATGGAAAAATGGCTGATTTCGAGGGCTTCTCAAACTGCAATATTACAACTAAACATTGATTTGGCTTCAAATGAAATGTCAGATGACCATCAATATGCATTTGCTGTTTTTGTCTCTTTTATATTTAAAAAATAAAAAGAAGTGGTGTATTACATGGCGCATGTGCTTGTTAGGGTTATTTATTAGTTCCCCCAATTGAGGAGCTCCTGACATGCTAAAAGGAATCGGGATGGTGCCTTCAGCTGGTGTTTGTATTTAATTTATTTCACTCTTTTGCCTGTTCCTCCTGCTGAAGAGAGGCAGCACAGGAGGTTTGAGGTCCAAGATGGACGTGGACGTCCCTAAACCACCCCGTGTGTTTCTGAGCTACAGCCCCACTGCCCTGTTTTCACAGTGAGAATCATTCTGCATGGTGTTGCTCCTGTGTGTGTCTGCAAGATGGACGTCCACCACCGCTTTATGCATCGATACTGCGCCGAAGCTCTGCTTTATCCTTCAGCTGATGCAGTTTTTGCAGAAATACCTCATGCAAATGCAAATAATTTGATTAGCTGTTTCATTGAGTCAGGGAGATTAGAAGACAAAACATGTCATTATTGCAGCTTTGTCCAGTCCACTGCTTTGCTGTGTGCTTGAACTTTCAAATCTCATTTAATAAAACCAAGACTGTGTTGTTAATTGTCGTGTTTGAAAGATCTAATGTGTTTCCACAGCCTGTAATGTCCTAAATCCAATTATAGAGTCTTAGTGTTTGTTAAATGTGATCTTTGTTCTCCTTATTTAGCCAACTGGGTAACAAAAAATAGGCTAGCTATAACTAATCTCATAAATGAGTGCTCAAATAATAACTTTTGATTAAAGTTCTGCAGATTTTTGAAAGACAACCAGAAGGCCTGTCTTTGCCGTTGTCATCAACCATTCATTTGTGTTGCATGGCGCTACTAAGAAAGCCCATGTAAAATCGTACATGGTGCGGACTAAAGTTCAGGTGTTGCTTTGTTCATGGTCCTTACAGCTCGTTCTGCGTCTCTAGGTGGAGTTTACCGGTTGGTCTGACCCAAGTGATGGCCGCGGTGAAAGATGGACCGTGGAAGAGCCTGAGCTCTGGGAAGAAAGTAGCTTTGGCTGCCGGCCTTTCTGTGGGGGCCACGGTGGGATACCTTGTTTACCGTCACATTCGAAGAAGCAGTGGTGAGTTGTGAACTCTAGTAAGCTTTTTTTAATGCTCTGATCAATTGCCATGTGCTGACATGTTTTCCACTCACGGATGGCCAAAATGATATTGTTTTGTAAGTATAAAAGTGATAGTATAGTGTTGATATTCTTTATTCCATTATTTGGTTTCTGTAGTGCAATGCCAAAGCAAAGAGGAGTCCAGAATATCTGTTCCCCTTGACGTGTACCGATCTATTGCAAGATATCAGAGCACCTTTCTAGACATAGTGAGTGTTTGTTCTGTCTTTTTGCATGGCACTAGAACTATACAGTATATGCAATAGACTGTTCAAAAGTTTGGGGCCTGTAGGATTTAAAAAATATTTTTTGCAAGAATCTCTTAGGCTCACCAAAGCTGCGTTTATTTAATCAATTGTAAAATTGGGAAATGATTTGTTTAAAATAGCTTTCTTTTTTTAATATATTTTAAAATATAATTGTATTATTGTAATAATAAAGCTGAATTCTAATATACTGATTTGGTGTGGTTATTTGTTTATTTATTTGGAAACAGTTTTTTCAGGATTCTTTGATGAATAGAAAGTTTAAAAGAAAAGCATTTATTTAAAATTAGGGGTGCACAATTAATCGCTTCATTTCTAATCGCAATTACAATTATTGATGCCACAATTACGTAATCGTTCAAAGCGGCAATTAATCGTTCAAAGTCCACTTATGTTATTCTGCACGCTTAAGATATGTTTCTTTCTTTCTACATGTTATCTTAAGGGTTTTTCCATTGTTTTAGTATAACATTATAATACCATTCATATTTTTTACTTTTTTTTATAGTTTAAAGAAGAAACCAATCTGATGTATATTTGAAATTTGAGGCTTAATACTATAGAAAAGCAAAGTGTTTTCAGCTCGTTTATTTTCATATAAATTACAGCATGCAGTTGCATCAAACAATGGTATAAACATCATTCAATGTAAATTGTGATAATTGTAATTAATAATCGACAATTATGATTTTTGTCATAATCGTGCAGCCCGAGTTTTTTTGTTACATTATGAATGTCTTACTGTCACTTTTGATCAATTTAATGCGTTCTTACTGAATAAGTCATAATTTATTTAGAAAAAAAATCGTATTGACCCCAAACTTTTGAACAAAGTGTATACTATGAGTATGTTCCTCATTTGTTGCTTTAGATAAGTGTCTACTAATATGAATATTAAGGATTTTATGTTTATGTAATTTATTTTATCTTAAATTGTTAGTTTAAATGTAAATATTGTAAATTTAATTAGCAAATTTTACGTGATTTCCACGGCTGTGAAGGTACTGTAGTAAGTATATTAGGATATTTTCTTTTTGAGTGTAATAATCTCTATAAAATTTAATTGCAAAACATTATTTAACAATTATGATGTTTAAAAAAAAATTTTTTTTTATAGAGAAACAAAAATATTTGATGAAAAAGGTATACGATTTGCATCATGCGGTTCTCTAACTCTCACGTTTGTGTAGGTGAATCAGAAGTCTGGTGCTCAGATAAATGTGCTGCCAAACACTGAAGAGCAGAGCCTGGTGAATTTTCTGATTCAGGGCTCACCGGAGCAGATTCTGGTGGCGCAGTGTGCTCTGGAGAAACTGGCCACCGACTGTGAGATCATCACCGATGTCATAGACGTGCCTCAGACGGCATTTGGGCGAATTATAGGTTGGCGTACAGTTTACTTTAAGTAAAAGTGCCTATTGTTGCATTTTTAGAGCATCTGTGCTTCGCTTCATTCTGTCAACATATAATCTTGTGTAAAATGTTTGAAATGTTGTTTGCTTCAGGTCGTGGTGGTGAGACTTTGAAGTTCATAAACAGAGTCTCGGGGGCCAGGGTGAACTGCTCCAAAGATCGTGGACGCAGCTTGGAGGAGAAGGGCAAGATCACAATAACCGGCACACGCAAGGAGATTCAAAGTGCGAAGGTGAGATTTTAGCATACGTGTGGTTTAGAAAAAGTTTCTGCATTCACACACAGGTTTTATGCACGCATGTAGTGAGGCAGACCCAGTGTTTGAACGATTTTTTTTTTTTCCCTCACAGGAAATGATCATGGAGAAGGTCATAGAGAATGAAACTGTACGAAAGCGAATAAGTCAGGCTTCTGTCTTGCGTCAGAAGAGGAAACTGCCGGAAACAGAGCAGTTAAACAAGACTCAAGGACTGGAGAATGAATTATTAAAGCTTAATGGAAAAGATTTACCTTCCCCAATGACTGAGCTTAAACAAGAGGGGCCTGTTCCGGTCAACGGCTTCACAGACTACAGTGATACTGCTGAAAACTCCCTTAAATCAGAGGAGGAGGAGATTCTCTCTCCAGTATCACCTTTGGAGATCTCCAAATTTGAAAGTAAGAGTCGTAAATCCCACCTTCACACTAGGCTTGCCGCGATAGACGGTTCTGACGGTGATACCGGTGTTAAGACGCAACTGTCACTTGCCCACGCCACCGACCCCCACCGTCGTTTAGATTTTTTTTATAGTAATAAAAATCATTTAGTTCGGTAAAAGAACAGACACTACAATTAATCAATGCAGTTGAACGACAGTTGCATCACAGATCAGAGTTCATTTATCCAGTGAGGAGAGTGAGTCAAGCTGACTGACAAGAGTGAGGTGAGACCGACAAGACGATCACGGATGATTTAGTTTCGAAACGAAATGCAAAAGCGCCTGTTTGGCAATATGGATTTTTAAAAGCCTGTTGACTTTTGCTGTTTATCTATGGTGATTTTGGAAGTTTTTTTAAACATTTGTTTCTTATTTAATTGGTTTCACATTAGGCGCATTTCCATTACAGATTTGCACAAAACTTTGGCGATATTTTCTGAATGTCAATAAAAAAGTATTGCGAAATGACGGCGTTTCCATTAACCAATGTTATGCGGCTGAAACGTAACCTTTTGCCTCTCGCGATAAGTCATGGCAACGGATTTTGGTGGGATTTTGGCTATATTTATTCAAAGGAGGCTTATGCGTTTATCTTTACTGAAGCAGCAAAGAGAGCCGCTTCAGAAACGTGCGTGGCGCAGCTGGAATAAACCATAGACTGTATAAAAACATAAACACAAGCATTGAGTGGCCGTAATCAGCTTCAGTGACCGTATCAGAGCCACACTGCACCGCAGACGTGTGCATATGGGCGTTTTTGCGAAATTGACGCATTTCCATTAAGCGTATTTTCAATTCGCAATTTAAAAATTTGCGCAATTTGAAGGGTAATGGAAACTCGCCTATTGTTTGCTGATTTTTACTTTATTTAAGCTTTGTGTCATTTATTTATTTTATTTGACGTCAAGGTGTATGCCGTGCCTTCAAGACTTCTTACTCGTTTTGCTAATAAATGTTCTACGTTTCTTATTTATTTGGTTATATATTATTCATGTTTACTTGTTTCCAGTTTTGTACATTTAAACTTTATGTAAGTTATTTGTTATTTTATATTAGGCATAGCCTTCCCTATAGCATGGTGTATTTTTATTTGTTTTGTTAATAAAAGTTCTATGTTTTATATATACGCTAAAGTGAGTTTGACATTGTATTTTGTTGTTGCATTCAAGCAATTGACGCCTAACTGCCGCTAATTCGCGCACGCCGCTTTTAAGCTATTTAAAAGCGAGGAAAAGAGGGGAAATTAAAACGAACTAAAAACAAACAATTGCTTTACTCTGAATTGCCGCTATTTGAAAGTGAAAGTAAAATGCGCACACCGCTTTTACAAGCTATTTAAAAGAGGGAAGGCCCCGCCCCCGCGGTGATACCGGTATTATCGGTGTTATCACACGTTGATTAACCGGTGGGAAAATGTCCTCACCGTCACAACCCTACTTCACAAGGCCAGTGAATTAAAGGAATTTACTCACAGTTAGTATCATAACATCACAGTTAGTATCATCACAGTTAGTTATTATTCGAATTTAATGTTGTTTTTTTAAACCTTTTTCTGTTAAAAATGTAATAGTTTGGTGAACCTTTTCTTAAAAAACATTGTTGTTGTTTTTTTTAATCTTTTTCGGTTTTCATTTTAATTTGTGTTAAATTGAGTAATTTTTGGTGAACTTTTTCTTAAAGTTTACTTGTTTCCAGTTTTGTACATTTAAACTTTATGTAAGTTATTTGTTATTTTATATTAGGCATAGCCTTCCCTATAGCATGGTGTATTTTTATTTGTTTTGTTAATAAAAGTTCTATGTTTTATATATACGCTAAAGTGAGTTTGACATTGTATTTTGTTGTTGCATTCAAGCAATTGACGCCTAACTGCCGCTAATTCGCGCACGCCGCTTTTAAGCTATTTAAAAGCGAGGAAAAGAGGGGAAATTAAAACGAACTAAAAACAAACAATTGCTTTACTCTGAATTGCCGCTATTTGAAAGTGAAAGTAAAATGCGCACACCGCTTTTACAAGCTATTTAAAAGAGGGAAGGCCCCGCCCCCGCGGTGATACCGGTATTATCGGTGTTATCACACGTTGATTAACCGGTGGGAAAATGTCCTCACCGTCACAACCCTACTTCACAAGGCCAGTGAATTAAAGGAATTTACTCACAGTATCATAACCTCACAGTTAGTATCATCACAGTTAGTTATTATTAGAATTTAATGTTGTTTTGAAGGTTAATTAAAGGAATTGCCAAAAATGACATTTCTGTCATCAATTACTCACAGTTAGTATCATAACCTCACAGTTAGTATCATCACAGTTAGTTATTATTAGAATTTAATGTTGTTTTTTTAAACCTTTTTCTGTTAAAAATGTAATAGTTTGGTGAACCTTTTCTTAAAAAACATTGTTGTTGTTTTTTTTAATCTTTTTCGGTTTTCATTTTAATTTGTGTTAAATTTAGTAATTTTTGGTGAACTTTTTCTTAAATTTTTTTTTCAGTTTACCAAGGAATAAGGCTGAATGATTGATCAAAATTAAAATAAAAAGCTTTGAAAGAGAAGGGGAGAGGGGTCAATATGATTTTTCTTACAAAATAAAAGCTTGATGGCCTAAAATTTGAAAATTAAGTTTTGTAATTTTACACTTGTACTGTTTAGTTGTAGTATTTTTTTGAATGCTAATTTTTTACTAATTACTATATTAATATTATAAATATAACTATATAATAGTATTTTAAAAATATTTTTATATTGATATAGTCACAATATGATTTTTGGGGTGCCAAATTGTGCAGCCCTACAAATCTGGAGTTTTTTTTATTTTTATAAATAATCATTTTATACTGCAGAATTTTTATTTGAAAAATTGCAGTTCAAATTTTTTTTACCCCCTAAATTGTTCAGCCCCACTGAGGAATCATATTTAGACCCCTGTAGAAGACCAAATAACTAATAATTAGTATTTTCTTACCAGTTCCTAGTCCAGACCTGAGCTTCCAGCCCGATGAGCATCTGGAGGTGTATGTGTCTGCGTCTGAGAATCCTCAACACTTTTGGATCCAGATTCTGGGGGTCCGATCTCTACAGCTGGATAAACTGACGGCCGAAATTAGCCGTTTCTACAACAGTGATACCCCACAAGTAAGTTTGCTTGACCTCGCTTGACGTAGGATCCATGACCCTGATAAATGAGTGAATTCTACTATATTATTCTTCTCCTACCACAGGAGCACAGAGTGGACACCATTATTGTTGGAGATATAGTAAACTTCCATGGGCAGCTTCATTGTTCATTCAATTTTTTATTTTTTTTTAATTGTCTTGAAATTCTGTATGCATCAGTACATGCTTTCATTCTGCTACATACAATACTGTTCAAAACCTTGGGGTTAGTGAGATTTAAAAAAAAATTTAAATTACATTTTATTTAGCAAGGCTACATTAAATTGATTTAAAATGACAATAAAAGAAAAAAAAAGACATTTATGTTGTTACAAAAGATTTGTTTTTCAAATAAATGCAGTGCTTTGAACTTTTTTTTATTCATCAAAAAATCTTGAAAAAAAACATCAGTTTTCACAAAAATATTAAGGAGCACAACCGTTTTCACCATAATCGGCATATTGGAGTAGGGCTGTCAAAATGGCTGAAACTCTGAGGATGAAGGGATTGGGCTGAGGGGAGACTGGGATGAGTCCAGATCACTGCAGAAGATGCTGGTAAGATACATATGGATTGCGTTTATGGTGTATTGTAGGTGGAAGCAGCACCAAGAGAATCATTGTTTAAATTTTGCGCAGGACGACATGACCGGAGCAACATCAGAACTCAGTATGTCCTGCATCAGTTTGTCAGGTACGTTTTCTGAAATGAAGAAATGAATTGAGACACTTAAACTTCCATGGGCAGCTTCATTGTTCATTCAATTTTTTATTTTTTTTTAATTGTCTTGAAATTCTGTATGCATCAGTACATGCTTTCATTCTGCTACATACAATACTGTTCAAAACCTTGGGGTTAGTGAGATTTAAAAAAAAATTTAAATTACATTTTATTTAGCAAGGCTACGTTAAATTGATTTAAAATGACAATAAAAGAAAAAAAAAGACATTTATGTTGTTACAAAAGATTTGTTTTTCAAATAAATGCAGTGCTTTGAACTTTTTTTTTATTCATCAAAAAATCTTGAAAAAAAACATCAGTTTTCACAAAAATATTAAGCAGCACAACCGTTTTCACCATAATCGGCATATTGGAGTAGGGCTGTCAAAATGGCTGAAACTCAATTTGAATTATATTTTAATTTAAAATGCATAATTTCAGTTAGGGTGAAGAAAAGCTTTTGGCTTCTCTTCTGAGGCCACAAGAGGGCGCATCGAGCAAAATATTACTAATGCACGTCTATTCAAAGCATAAGATAAAATGACTATCTGTGAAAAAAGTGCATAATGTTTAAATAAAATAATGTTTATAAACCAATTATAATTAAGTTGCTTAAACAACTTTGAACAAAACAGCATCATGTATGTATAGTTTAATACAAAGGGCGGAAAGCCAATCACACAGAGTACATTTCTCTTTTGAAAACATGAGAGAAAAAAACCTGCCATAAAGTCTCGATATATGTTTTTTTTCCAAAGTTAAACTTGCATTAATTTTACATGGCTTTCTGAACATGCAGCTCCTTTGTGCGAGACGCGATTGCAACGCTAATAGATGTCCCTCTAGAAAATGTGCGAAATATGTGCTCTGTGTGAACGGCATGGTTTCAGTTTTGATGTAAACAAGATGTTCTCTTTTTCCGCATTATATTTGTAATTAACAACGCAGCAGCGCCGCATCTAGTGGCTTCAACTGGATAGGCTAACAAAAACATTATAATTCATCGACACTTACATTGTCATCGCATCTCGTGCGCCACTGATAAGGCTGCCTTCTTAACGCACACCTAAAAAAATTTGGATTTTTGTTTTAAATTCGACGAATATTCTAAATTTGAAAAAAAAAAATTACAGCCCTATATTGGAGTAATGGCCACTGAAAATTCGACTTTGCTTTAAAAAATAAATTACATTTCACAATATAATAAAATAGAAAACAATTATGTAAATTGTAATAATTTTTTACAATATTACTTTTTTACTGTATACAGTTTTAGTTTTTTTCTTTAAAAAACATTAAAAAAAAAAATCTTACCAACCCCAAAAGTTTGAAAAGTAGTATTTCAGTTCAGCAGAGTTTAACCAGTCCTCGGGGTGATGAATTTGGAGGTTCAGAATATCCATGGCTATGCAAGCAGCTGGAATGGTCTTCATCTCTCACAAGCTCTTTGGAGATGGAGCGAGCCGACGTGGACAAGAGCTTGTGTTTTGGATTCATGTCTTCCTCTTCCTTAATCCACTCCACTCCATCTCAGAACC